CAATGACCCTACAGAAAAACTCATCAACAGAACACTGAACAAACTTAGGAAACAAAACTTAATCAACGAGAAGCTAGCTAAAGACTTAAGAACCAACAAGAATTTCCCCCATCAATTCTGCGGACTACCTAAAGTACACAAACCTAATATACCTTTAAGGCCTATCGTCAGCGCTATAAACTCACCTTGCCATCAACTAGCAACATTCCTGGTTGCAGATAATTGTTGAGAATGCAAAGAAATCCACATAGATGCTCCCTCACAATGAAACACCTGAGGATCAAGTAACTGTGAAGTCAAATGAACCAATTTAGAAGATCCCTCCCAAAATACCCATAGCACGTCAAACAAAAGGAACATGAAAAGAATGGATGTTAGGCTGATTTCAATAAGAGTCAGCAGTAACTGTCATTTCAAGGGAAGGCAGGAAAAATAATGATTCTAATACAGGTAAGTAAAGTCGATATCTTGTGACATTGGCACCAACCTGAATGGAAACTCCCACAGAGATGGCAGCAGGTGACTGAACATGCACAGTCTAAATATTTTGATCAATCAGGGTTGACAAGCAGCCATGAGACCTCCTTGTACAATGGTAGCCAAATGGGGAAATAAGATCTCAAATGAATGAGCAGAGATAGAAATATGCAAATTAGCAGTAGTGTTAACATCATGGTTAGCATTAAAATATGTATCCATGAGTAATAGAGCATCACAACTCAACAAAAACATCTAGATTTGGTCAGAAACGTAGAACACAAGTTGTTCTCTCATGTATGCATAAGTCATGAGGAAGGTGAGAGAGTTCAGAACTATGAGTAGATATGACACACGTATTGCATTGTGGCAAGGACATTCAGAACCTTAGATCATGTAACAATGACAGAGTGAGTTATACTCAACAAGAGGAGGTTGTGTTTCAAAATAAGAAGTCTGTCTGTTTGGAACATAAGTTACAAGACTTCCACCCTACTCTTGGTAGCTTTCACATTTATATTAGAAGCATCACTAAAATTGAAAAAATATGAAGTCCTTCTAAAAAAAAGTCCTTTACTAAGTAATATCTGTCTCGTTTTTAACACTTAACTGTAAAATCTAAAAGTTTTTAGAGATGCATAATACACATTAATTTCATTTTTAATGCACAAGTTTTCAAAAGTATATAATTACAGGTTTTAAACTATGTATATTTAATATTTTATTTAGGGTATAGCTTTAATAAAGAGATGAAAATAAATCCTTTACATTCTCTCATGGGGATGACAAACAGGTGATTGTATGAAATTATGGCACACACACACACTATATATATATATATATATATATATCTATGCATATATGTACAGAAAAGACAATTCACCTGTGTAAAAGAGTCACCATAAAAACAAATACCAAAACATACTATGCTGTTGATAAAATCCAGTTGCAATTTGTAAGCCAAAAAGTCAGACATGATTGTTAAATTCCAAAAATGTCACATTAATTGGCATATTTTATAATTTGGCAATCTAATTTTTAATGACTGATTAAAGGAGTGACTGTTATGGTAAAATTACACATTAATTATAAAGAAGCCATTCTGCTTGACCTGCTAAATATATAATCTAGACCAGTAGTTCTCAAATTTTAGTAAACCAAGAACCCTTCTTATTTTGAAATTTGTTTGCACACCCCCCCCCCCCAACCTTATCTTTTTTTTTTTTTTT